GAAGAGGAAGGAAAAAATCTGATCTTTGCTTCCAATCTTATTGTTTTTTTGGGGGGGGGGGGCGCCTTCAAGTCAGTGTTGACTCTTGGTGAATGCATGGACTAGTCCCTGAAGTTTTCTTGTCAAGATTTCAGGCGTGGTTTGCCATTGCCTCCTCCCAAGGCTGAGAGAGTGACTGGCCCAAGGTCACCCAGCTGGCTTTGTGCCTAAGCAGGACTAGAACTCACGGTCTCCCAGTTTCTAGCCTGGTGCCTTAAATCACGACACCAGACTGGTTTTCTTATTGCATGGAAGAGTATAAATCTTAAGGACCTTAGTCACAGAGCCACTACAACTCTTACACAGCCAAAAATGCAGCATGGATTCACAGCCCATCCATGAAGCTTGCTTCATCATTTGCTTTGATGACCAGAGTCAGCTACAGATCTGAGCCCCACAAAGCACCACTTAGCCCAGGTTTGGCTGTTGGGGATACAGACATGTTCTTAGTAAATAAATAAAAGGGACCCATCCATTTTGTTGCTGGCAGGCTCCTTGCACCATGAATAAGCTCCTTTAAAAAAAATTTCCTTTATCAGTATGTGCAGGTCATTTCGCTGATGTACAGCAACTCTTTTTCCAGAAAGCTTGTCTGATTTAACAATTAGGCAGATAGCAGCAGCAGTACACCCTTCTGGGATCCATGGTGGCTATTTGCCGAAGAATGCCATATGCAGTGCTATGCAGGAGAACAATTTAATATCCTGGTGTTAACTTTTACAGCCATTCTGTGCAGTGTTATTTTAAGGACCCCTTTCACCTGTATAATATTATCCATTTATTAAGATTTATTCAGAGGAGGCCTCATTTATCTGCTAGTAGAATTAAGTTGGTAGTCAGGAAAGACAAGGCCTTTTCACCTGTGGCTCTGGGATTCTGGGATTCTTCCAACTCAACTGCTATTTGTGCTTCCTATAGAGCAGGACTTTAAAATTGCCTTTCTGGATCACATGATTGCTCATGTTAATGAAACTAAATGTTTTTTCTCTTTTATATAGGTTGTCCTAAAAGGACACGCTAAACAATAATTCCCAGCTTGATGTTTCTACTTGTGCTGGAATTAAAGGCCATGTTGATTGGGACCTGGATCTGAGGGAGATCACTCTGGGGAAACTTCCCTTAAATAATTACAAATAAAAAAAAAAAAGCTTGGTATTAAACATGCAGTTGGTATAATGTTATGTTGTATTTTTCTGCAGATACATAAAACATTGGAATTTAAAAAGTAGCATCTATTCTTATTACATCTTCCCCAGGCCTGTACAACATATGGCCCACAGGCCACATGTGGCCACCAAGAAGCTTTGTGAGGCTCACCAGCATTTTTTTAAAACTTAACACATCCAATGCCACCAAATATCACTGCAACCTGGAAGGATACACCACTGCCTAGTTTTTCACAGCCACCTCCGCCCTGAAAGACAAGGTGTCAAGTGCCTCTCACCAATACTGCCAGCTCCAGCATTTCCGCCACACCACTAGTTCCCAAACAGCTGACTGGCTTGCCAGCTATTCTTCTGTGGCCCGCAATTATTGTTAGTGTATCAGTGTGGCCCTTTCCCTTTTTTAGTTGTGCAGGACTGATCTTACCTGATAGTGGCTGATTTCGCTTTCAGATCATTCCAACGTTGGTTCATGTCATCAATACGATGCTGTAACAGTGCAGCCTCCTCAGAGTTCCCTAAAGCTTTTACCATCTTCTGCCTGTTTCCATCAATGCTCTTGAAGATATCATTGTGAGCATCAATTTCAGCCTGGATGTCCTAAGAAAAGAAAGGCCAGCTAATAAATCCACAGACAACTGATATCAGTTTTGTGCTCAAAATAAGGAAATTAGCTATTCAAAATTCTCACCATCTAATTAAAAATTGAGAACTATCAAAATTACTACAATGGAATAATATTGATTTTAAAGAATGCATTTTCCATTGTGATATGTTTTTGAAAATAATTGAAAAAACATTACAAGATGGGCTATGCTGAGTGTCAACTGTGGATGAGTAGTCCTAAGGTCTTGTTCTGAAGCTTTCTTGTACTATAAATAACATACATGCTAAGATGACAGTATCACCATTGTTATTTATATCAAGGAGTACAAGAAGAATCATTAGTTTCATACTAGCAAAGCCATTAAAGACAAATCCTAGATAGCCACAATCCTCCACAAAGCACAGGGAGCTTCTAGCAGCTCCTGGTGTCTTAAAGAAAGGTGAACTGCATCCTTACTCCTATTCACAAAACAAATAACCTTGTTAAACCAAAGCCAGATATGTGGACTTCAGACATGCATCCCACATATAATGAGAAAAAATGCACTGCTGACATTATTCTCACATGTGGACCAAGCAACTGGGAATTGTTGAAAGAATAAATCCAGGGTCTAAGAATAAAAATTTGCCATCTTCAGAGATATTTCAGAAAGATGTACATTTATAATGCCATAGAATGCAATGTGAAGTATGTCCATATTTATATTTTAGACTTAATAAACAATCATGTGGAACTCCAAAAGTCTCATTTTTCTTTAGTTTGCTTTTCTATATATTACAAAATGGGGAAAGGAAATTATTGTTTGTTCTTTTATCTTTCATCCCACCAATCCATTAGAGCACCTGGTAGAAGCTAATTATACCCTCTTCCACTTTCCATCTTAAGACAACAACTTAACTTTTTAATCTTTAGCTTCAGAACAACTACTTTTTTCCCAGCAATCCTGCTTCTAGTCTGCTGGAGAGCTTGAAAGCTATTTTGTGATTTGAGTTGACTTAAATAAAGATATGGCTTTTATATGGATTCCAGATATCTAGGCAGGGAGGGACAGCTCTCAAGCTACAAGCCTGATCTGGCATTCAAAATTAAAAAGCACAACTTAATGTTCTTTTTATCTGTTTTGTTTTATATTATCTACACCTGCTTATATTTATATATAAGTGCAGTGCATACAAACATAATAATTATCTTTGAAGCTTTACTGTTAGATCATGGAAAGTTTATTTATTCGTTTACCAGTTATATCCTGCTTTTTCTTCAAAAGTTCAAGCAGCTGATATAGAGTTTTGCCTTAATTATATCATCACAATAACAACCCTCTAAGGGTTGGGCTGAGAGTGAGTGACTAGCCTAAAGTCACTAGGTACGTTTCTACAGCTAAGGGTAAATTTGAACCTGGGTTTCTCCAGTTCTAGTCTACCATAACCATGGTTATGCACAATCTTTTTCAAGCTCAGATATGAATTTAATCTTCTAATGTCATGCAAGGTGTTGCATTTTCAAAAGTGGGTGCGGCCAGGACAATTCTACATTTAATTTTATTACACTGAATAAAATCAATCTGCATGTATTTAATAATTCTCTCCTTAATATTAAAAAAATACAATTCAGTTCAACTCCTGGAAGACCACTGAAAGCTACACTCAAGGCCTTGGAATGCCACAAGATATGCAGCTTTCTTCTCTAGATGGAGGAACTTCTGACTTTCAAAATAGTGTTTAATTGTACTTCCTAAAAAGACTATGGCAGCATAACCAATGATGAAGAATAATGAAAATCAGAAACATCTAGAAGGTCATATCATCCCTGCTCCAAAGAACAGAATCGCCCCTAAAAATACAAGCCATCGAAGAAGTTGGATAAATCCAGTTCTATGAACTCCAAGAGATAGGGGAGGAGAAAACTTCCATTTTTCAAAGATGAAACAAACAGCATTGTAAGAAAAATGCTATCATTGTTATTGGAGAAGTCTTTCAATATTTGGGAAAATATATTTAGAGAGACATACAAATCTGAGAAAAACAATGAGGCTTCCTATGCATCTCCAAGGGATTATTCAGCAAAGTTTACTAGAGAAACCCTTGTGGTGTTACAAACATGGTCTTTTTTCTTTAGAGGAACCAGTTCAACAGTCTGGGCTTCCTTAAAGACCTGATTCTTCCCTATTCTACTCAACATATTCCAGCTTTCCCAAGTGAGCTTTTACAAAGCAGCCCCAGACAGGAGCACTGCATAAAAAAAATATTATTATACACCCAACAGGCATTTAAAAATTCACTGACTGCTCTTGTTCATTTGGGATATTATGAAATGCATCATTATCCTCAATGAGGAAAACAAAATAGATGAAATATGAGATTACTGAGAAACATCTGATACTCCATCACAATTATGGACTGAAATAAAACTTACATTATTATTTTTTTCAGAACAATTTTAATCACCCAGTAAGACATTAAAGGGACCTCGACTGGAGGTAGTCTGATCAGAAAAAAGATTCTGGTGTTAGCTGAATAACCCAAGGTATTTTTGCTATAGAAAAGTAGTCTGCAATTGGAAACATTGGGAAGGGAACTGAAAACAAGTTAATTTCTATATAAAAATATCCTGTAAGACCATATATGGAATACTGTATATAGTTCTGATCACCATATCTGAAAAAAGAATATTGTAGTGCTAGAAAGGGTCAACTAAAATGATAGATTAGACCAGAATAGTTTCCTTGCAGGAAATATAATTGCATCTGAAGCTTCTTAAATTGAATGGGTAAGGGAAGATACAACAGAAGTATATAAGTTCATGCATGGTATGCAACATGTCACTAGAGAAAAGTTTTTATTTCATACAATATTAAAATTCAGGGTAATCCATTAAATCTCTATGTGAAGAGACTGAAGAACAATAAAAGGAAATATCTCTTTACACAGTACATAGTTAATCTGTGGAATTTGCTGTCATCAGATATGATGATGGACATCAATTTAGATGGTTCTGAAAGAGGATGTATCATACCCATGATGATCAGGTGAAACCTTAGAATTTTTGACAAATATTCAGAACAGTTTGAAGTGACTCATATATCAGTCATATAAATGCAGATGTAAAAAAAAAAAGTTGTTCCACAATATCCCTTGAAAAATGAGGCAGAAATAGGTACACTTAATACTGCTCAAATATTTCATATTGGAAGACAAATAATATACATTTTTGGTTCTCATCCCCAGATAGGTAGGAAAGCAGTAATATTACATAACTATTTTTATTTTATTTTTACAATGCCTAGTTATCTAGGAGAGATTCCGTTTATACAAGTGTGTGCTCTACAGCATGGATTTCTAATTTTTTTTTTTAAAAAACCCTAACCCTGTCATAACAGTGATTCTCTATAGCTGTTAGTATTTACACTGCTGCCATCTCTTTCATAACACCTAGCAGCAAAATCAAAGAAAACAATCTCTGAAAACAACCCGTTCTTTATTCTCAGCAGTAGGACAGAAAAATGTTCTAAGTCTCAGTGGGAACATAATTTATAAATACATTATACTGTTCACTCAACAAGATTTTTTTAACAACATACAAAAGTGCAGGAGAACGTAGAAATCATTTAATGCATACATGGGCAGAAAAGCTGTAAACTGGAAGAGCCAGAATGACTCACACCTGCAAAGTGTGATAGGAATTTTTTATTGGAATGAAATTTATAAAATCCACATAAAGCAAAAGACACTCTATTGTAGTTTAAGTCATAGAGAGCTGTTGAAACTCTGTGGGCAGAAGGTGGGGGGTGGGGAGAGGACAGAATCCAACCAACTCTGACACTCCTCAAACAATCAGTAAATTTGGTACTTCACCTTTTTTTTAATTAAAAGAACTATTGTACTGAAAGGTTGCAGTTATTCACATTTTTCTGCTTTGTTTTATCTCGTACCTAAGACACCATACATACCAATCTCTAAAAAAAGAACACATCATGAAACATGGTATAGTTATGGAATAAAACAATCCCAATCATTTAATCAGCCAAAAATTCCATTCCATTCAGACATTTAAAGAGTTAAAGGAAAACCTGACTTTTCAATCCAGGTAAATGTGCAAAGTCATTTGGTTTCTCTTGGAAGGCCTTTAAAAAGAGGAGAGGGACCAGCACCATTTTGCTTTTAGTCTTTTGTCTCTTCCCTTATCAAAACTGTCCTCCATAGAAATCTGGGTTGAAGATCAAGGAATTATACAGCAAGCTAGTGAGTGCTAGAAACAGTGCACAATTTATTTTCTTTAATGCACTGTGATCAGAGTTGCATGACTGTGTTTTGTGTGCATCTCTGCAGGTGATCCTAGGTTGAAAAAGTGGTCTGACTGAAATCAACTTCTTCAGAAGTAATTATTCATTTTGTCTTCTTTTTTCCTTTCTCCTGTTGTGCCTTTCTATTTCCTTCTTTAACCTTGATATACTTAATAAAAACTTGAATTCCTAATTAATCATAATGCTCATTCTGGGGAAAGGAGCCCGCCTTTTATACATATCTTCCTGTTCAGTCAAGTACTTGCCCCTTGCCTCTTCCCACATAAGCCGGTGCCACAGAGAGGGTTCCTCTAGAGTAAAGTGGCCAGTAGCAGAGCTGGCTCTTCTGATGGTTGTAGGTGTAAGACCTTTTCATGCAGCCAATAGGGCCCAATCCACAACATCCTATGCATGCAGGCACACACACCATTTTAAGTGTCCAAGCTAGGCCAGAGAGTCCAGCAGACTACATATTGATATGGAGAATGGTCTCCAAAAGACTCAACCCAAGTAAATTCTGATAATATTGTAATTCCCAAAAGGTCCTCTTCTTCCTTCCTTCCTTCCTTCCTTCCTTCCTTCCTTCCTTCCTTCCTTCCTTCCTTCCTTCCTTCCTTCCTTCCTTCCCCTCCCTCTCTCTCTATGTATATATATACATGTGTGTATGTATGTGTGTGCGTGTATATGTATGCGTTTGTATGTATGAATCGAAAT